TTTATGCATGGATTATCTAAATGCCCACAACATTACGAACTTCCCACTTTGCAGATGGGAAATGTATGGAGACACTGGAAAAGTCCCATTTGCTCCCTAATGAAGTAGTGTCCTCTAAGGAGCTCTAAATGTGGAGTGATTTATAGTGATGGACTGACAAGATGGTTCTGTCCCTTATACTATCTCTTGTACTCTGAGAAGTCTTAGAGAAAGAATCAGAGCCAGATCTGCATGTCTTGTCCCCAACCTCCTCCCTTCGGCCTCCTGGTGCTGCTTGTAAAGTTGGATGTTTTCCATAGTATTTACTTCTCTCCTGTGTGAACAGCCACAATGAGCTCGCTCTGCGAATCAAACAATCTCAGGCACGACTTCATCTGTCCCCAGACTGGCCGTTAGACAAGGCTGAACTGCCCTTGCTGCTGGTTCTGACTGCTTTACCGTAAATAGTCTCAATTTCCTGCATGAGGCCAATCTCCTTAGCCAAATGGATGTGAGCAAAGGCTGCCTTTGATGAGACCTGGGAGTAGAAAGGAGCCGTCCAAAGGGAGCTATTGTCACAGCAGGCCTTGAATCAAGTCAGAGATACTCTAGGCTTCAAGTCCTTGTAAACAGCCGTTCTCTGTGTGAGAGGCAGCTCAAACCTCTGAAAAAAGCATGGTTGAGGATCCATGGAGGAATTGTGGAGTAGGGGGTTGGGGAACCATAGAGGGGGTTCCTCTTCCCTGTTTACGTATACATGTGTTCTTTTCCTACTGGGTAAATTAGCATCTCTCCTCTATTTCTTAACTCCTCTTCCTAAGAGGAAGGGCACTCCCTCTTTTAGGCTTTCCCACAGTATGCACAAACCTTTTGTACTATTCTTACAATCTCTCTTCCAGATAATCCCTTTACCTTTCACTTAATCCTCAGGAAAGTCCTAGCAAGAATGTAGAGTTGAGGGAAGCATTGTCACCATCACAGGATGGTGGTTTTCCCAAGATTATATGTTAATCAAGTAGAGTCAGGGTTGGAATACTACACTTCCAAATTTAAACACTTTTTTTTTTTTCTTTTTTGCAAACCAGTAAGGAAACAGTGTGCCCCCTTGATTCTGTTCTTGGTTTCCCAACATGTTAAGTAGCCTTGGAGCAGTTTAACTCTCTGAATCTTTACTTAGCAAGACGGGTGGGACTAGGGCAGTAGAATCCTGGGGACATAAGGGTTTCAGAAGGAAGGTGGAGCTTTGCTTGGGGAGCTATGAGAGATGAATGCTCAGCAAGTCTCATTGTAAGGGGAGCCATACTTAAAGCTTTAGTTGAAGCTATAGTCAAGGGCTTCTTGGAGCTGAATGTTGCTGCTAGAGAATGGAGTCAGGCTTCTCATCATCGTCATCTGTTCAGCATCTATCCTTCGGTCAAACTCGGATTCTAATACTCTGTCTCCAGTATATACTTCTCACTGAATTTCAGAGGTGTCCTCTGTAGCAAGAAGACTACAATGTATCACGAGTTTATACTACAGGAAGCATTTAGAAGAGTGCCTGGCATATAGTTCATGCTCCATAAATGTTAGCTCTTAGTATTATCATTATTGGGAACTTTATCTGATTTTCCAGATAATCCCTTTACCTCTTCTTCCTTCCCAGTTGAGTGTGACCTGTGATTCTACTGAGAGATTCTGGACTAGGTAGACGTCATTTTGTAGGGTCCTGTCTAGTCCCATACTAAGCAAGATGGGTTTCAGGCATTGAAGATTCTTGGAGTCTGTGAATAGGTCAGTGATATATAAGGATTACAGATGTGCCTCCCCAACCCTCTGGAAAGACATGTTGTACAAGAGAAAATGCTGATGTAAGGATTGTTAGCCTGTGAGCACCTCCACATCACCATTATACAGCTGTGAATGAAATGCCAACTGCTCCTTTCTGAAGGGTCACAGACCATAGATTAAGAATTTGCGCTAGAATTTTGTGGTCTTCAAGCCATATTTCTAGAATTTCCTCATAGAAATTCATATAGTTGTCTACATCTAGGTTTATTTTTAATCAAAGATTCATTTTTATTTATGTGTCTCTGTGTGTATACCATGTGTGCAGGTGCTCATGGAGGCCAGAAGAGGGTGTTAGATCACCTGGAGCTGGAGTTACAGACAGTTGTGAGCCACTTGATGTGGGTGCTAGCAACTGAACTCTGGTCCTCTGCAACAGCAGCAAGCCCTCCTAACCACTGAGTCATCTCTCCAGCCCCTGTATCTAGGATTGTCATGACAACTGTCCTTCCTGTAGGTCCCTCAGATTCAGCTGGAATCAGGTCCAGCAGCTCCCCCAGTGTTCTATGGCCTCCTTCACTTAGCTTATAGCATCTTGGTTTTCTCTGTAAAGGGCCTTGGAGTTTCCCTACAGTCTCCTTCCTTGTCTCCGAACCTCCCACAGGCTTTAATACCCTCTTCTCTGTTTCACTTCAGTCTCTTTTCTTCTCCATGGTGAAGACAGAAGTGAAATAAGTTCTACCCACTCACTGGCATGTAATCACATTTTAGCCTTTGGGAAAGATTTTCCTTTATACCTCCTTATGAGCTGTTGGTCAGGGAGGCCCTAGAGGTCACTAAGACATTACAAGCTATTGGTGATGCTTCTGTTCACACACTAGAATGAGAGTGTAAGACCGTATTTGTGAAGATACCACATACTTGGGTTAGAAGACTTAGATAAATGAAGCTGAATCTGAGCTGGAAGCTTCCTACATGTTGGGTCTCCTTGTGCTGGAAGATGCTGTTAAAGCTGCTGGGTAAGAAAAGTTACCCATGGTCCTACCCAGCTGTGCACCCTACAAGCTACAATAATGACCTGTCTGGAAAGATATGCCCATCAGTGCAATAATGGCATGATTATTATGGGGCCAACCAACCACTCTCTGATTGGATTAGAGGCTCATTCCAGAGAAGGGAACTCATACTTCATACTGTTTATAAACTTGGTCAAGAATCTAAAACCAAGGAGGTCGTAGGCCCTAGTGTAGAAACTACTACTGTTGTGCTAAGCAGTCAAACATATCAAAAAGAGAGCAAATACCATGCCATTTTTTTCCCTTGATTTTCCTTTTGTGTTAAGGACTGAGCCCAGGGCCTCATGCATGCTAAGTAAGCACTCTATCACTGAGCTACATCCCCAGTCTGTCTGTGCCATTCTTTTCCTGATTACTGGCTCACTTTGTTCCAAAAATTACTTTCTCAATAATCATAATAATGATAAGAATAGTGACCATCACACATGATCACCCACATGTGAACACTATCGCTCTGCTAAGTGCTTTATATACAGTATCTTATTTTCTGCATCTCCCTTGATGCTACCGGCATCATGGGGCTAAGCACAGTACTCTAAGGGACTAGTAATAATGATAACAACCACTCTTTATTTAACCATCACTCCAGCCTAAGACTTCCTCGTTGCTTATCTCTTGCCATTATTCTAATAGCCCTGTAATGTAGATATTATTATCCTCAGGTAGAGATGAGGAAATGGGTCAAAACATAAATTTATTAAACATTCATTTCATTCCTTCTTTCATCAGATAAGAGAGTACAGACTAAGTGTCTTCCCTGGGTCAGTGCCAGGAGCACACACAGTCTCTGTCATCAAGGGGCTGCTCCTGCAGTCCACAGAAGCAAGCGAGTCTCTGGAATTATTTATTGCCCCAGTTCATTGTGGGCTCTGCTTCCCCATACTTTGAAGATTGACCATTGTACTTTTTACATCCTCCATCATCAGAGGACTTTGTGTTTGGCCACATCACTCTTAACTAAAGTTCTATTTCCCCTGTCCTTTTCTCATAGAGGCCATTTGTCATCCTGGAGTAGGGGTCTTCTATGGACTTACCCGGGGAAAGGGGATGGGAGGTCTCAGTTTTCCTCCGGGAAGCCTTGCTTATTGATTTTGGAAAGAATTGGCAGAGAGGAAGAAAGTGAAGAGGTAGTGTGGAGGAAATTCCTCCAGAAGCTCTGAAGGGTGAGGGGTGAGGTGAGAGGGGACCAACAGGTGGACAGCTAGTTTTATGAGGAAGGAAGACACTGTTGTTTTAGTTCAACCTATGAGGTGCGAGGAAGCCAAGTGTATCCCAAATGCTGGGACTGGGGGCCTCTAGATCTATTCACTTCTGTCCATTAGGATGCTTTCGGCAGTACAGAATGAAGACTTTCATGCACAGTGACTTAATTGACAAGAACTTTTACCATCTTTGATGTAGTTCCAGAAGTGTAGATGTGGGCCAGACTACAGGATTAGTTGATCCAGAGAATCTCTGATCAGGGACCCAAACATTTTTCCCTATACACTAACCATGTTCTCTGCTTTCATTGAAGTAGATTTACTTTGTTGTTTAGAACCAATAGGAGAGAGACTGTTTTACCTGGTGGCTCTGTTAGGAGAAAGGAAATCTTTCCCAGGAGCCATCCTACCATGGCTCACTGGTCTGAACTGAGTCCTGGGTCACCTTCTGAACTTACCACGTGCAGTTCAGGTGAAATGAATCTGTAGTGGAATGCTTTTGGGACAGCCATAGCTCTGTCCATTGCGTAGTTACATTTTCTAGACTTAGGCTCAATCATAGTGAATAACCCAGTGCTATTCAGTATGGTAGGATACACACACACATACATATTTGTGTGCATATATATATATTATATATATATATTTCTATCTTGATACATAGGTAGATATATGATTGGCCTATACCTGCCAATTTTAGCAAATACTGTAGGATCCTCATAAATGTGAAGTCCAAATGGTGACTGTTTTTGTGGTGTGAGTCTGTCCTGTGAAATATTTGCTGGCCTGTGTGTCCCAATATTGGACACATACCAAAATGGGTAAATATTTGGCATAGGACAAAGGGAACGATGGTAGGGGTTATAGTAGGCCAGGAATTTGAAAAAAAAAAAAAAAAGGTCATATCTGAGTCCTGCCTTACTTGTGTGAGTACATTAGAGAGTAAATTCATTCAAAAGAAGGGGCCTAGGGGACCTTGCAGCCACACCTGCCCTGGCTCCTCATAGCTCAGATTTGAGAGGTGAAGTGATTACATCTCCTCTCTGGATTGACCTATCCTGGCCTGTCTTTTCAGGATCCCCACCGCTGTGGGCAGGCCTTGCTGCAGATTGGGATCAACATGATGGCGCTGCCTGGAGGCCGCCACCTGGAGTCCATTCCCCTGCAAGGGCAGCGGTAAGTCTTACAGCTGCTCCCAGCTGGCAGAGAGAGAGAGAGAGAGAGAGAGAGAGAGAGAGAGAGAGAGAGAGAGACAGAGAGAGAGAGAGGAGAGCTACACTGGTCCCTTGGGAGGTACATGTTACCCTGAGTGAGTAGGGCAGTGTGGGCAGAGGCAGGGTGTGGTATACACAGTGGATGAGGACAGATGATTTAGGAGTATTTAGTCTGTGGAGAGACGTGAGGCTACCAGAGAGGTGTCCGCATCCAGCGGAAAGGTCCACACAGCAACCAGTACAGACTTGACTTGATGGGCCCTGGAGGACTGAACCAGGGATGGAAAACCAGGATGCCAGATCTATGTTGACCAGCTGTCCCTGGGACAGTACTGATTGCCATGAGGGCTCTATGTCCATGGAAACTCTTCAAGCTCAGGTAACCAGGACAGTTGGACTCTGAGATAGGTTGCTCCTTTGGGGGCCTTTCTAACCAGGCGTTCCAGATCCTGCTTAGGCTTCTTTTCTGATTGTGCTAAGACATTTGGATGGGGCTGTTTTGAGACAACACAGTCTAAGAAGTCTTCATGAGCCTGTTAACTCCCCATTTTGCTTTATTCTGTCTTTTTTGTTGTTGTTTGTTTTGTTTTGTTTTTCAGTCTTTTCGAGTCAGGGTCTCCCTGTAGCCACCATTGACCCAGAGCTCATTATGTAGATAAGGCTGACTTCAATCTCATAAAGATCTACGTGCCTCTGCCTCCTGAGTTCTGGGACTAAAGGACATGAGTCACTAGACCCAGCTAATGTTTTGTTTTGATTCAATGATTTTCCACCTTTTCTCTATCCTTAACTCCCCACCAGAGTTGCCAGGGATGCTGAATTAGTTCATGTTAATTTCTATACTGTTCATCTGGCTTTTGGATGAATGGATAAAGATAATAGATATACTGATAGATGATACATAGAAGGCAGTATATTGCTCTTAATAGAAAAAAAAAAAGATTACTTGCTAAAACTCCCTAGTGAAACAGGGTTAATTACAGTCTCTGAAGGCACAGTCTAGTCCCTGTCAGCTTCAACTGTCAACTCAGCACAAACCTAGATCACTTGGGAAGAGGGAATCGTAACTGAGGAATTACCTTTGTAAGACTGACCTGTGGGCAGCTGTGTTAGATATTTTCTTGATTGCTGATTGGTGTAAGAGGACCCAGCTCAATGTGGGTGATGCCATTCCTGGGCAGGTAGGCCTAAGCTGAGCAAGTCAGGGAGAGCAAGCCAGTAAGCAGCATTCCTCCAGGGTCTTTGCTTCAGTTCCTGCCTCCAGCTTCCTGCCCCCAGTTCCTACCTTGGCTCCTTGTAATGATGGACTACAACTTGTAAGAAGAAATAAACCCTTTCCTCCTCAAGTTGCCTTTGGTTGATGTTTTGTCATAGCAACAGAGAAGCAAACTAGGACAAGGCCATCATTAGAAAGAGGTCGATATAGGGATGAGACATACAGTTCTTGCATGTTCCCAAGGACCGAGAACACCGTTAGAGTTATAATTAAGATTTTCCAGGGATAGAGAGATGGCTCAGCGGTTAAGAGCACTGGCTGATCTTGCAGAGGACCCAGATTTGATTCCCAGCACCCACATGGCAGCTACGAACCATCCTTAACTCCAGTTCCAGGGGAATCCGAAGCCCTCTTCTGACCTCCGTGGCATTGCATGACATGGGTGCGCTCACATGCATGCAGGCAATACACTCATACACATAAAATAAAAATAGTAAATAAATTATTAAAAAAGATTTTCCTGTGTAGTTAGAAACAGAAAATAAGAGCTCATGCAGGGCCATCTTTGCACGGAGTCTCTATGGTAAAACTCAGAGATGATGAGATATAAGACTGCCAGGAGAGATGAGAGATGGTGCCTGCCTCAGCTTGGACTAGCTGGTGGGGGGCTCTCCTGAGATAAACAGGTGTAGTTGGCTTTGGTCATGTGGCTGCATGGCTTCATAGCTGGGTTTTACCTCGTATTTGCCATCTGGCTGGTATACATTCTGGAGCTCCATTTGTTTGTTGGTCCCCTCATGTCCTGGATACTGATAGTACCTACTAGCCAGGGTTGATGTGAGGCTAAACAGATTAATATATGCAAAGCATCTTGACAGCTAATAAAGGAACTATCATTTATTCAATATCTGCTGAGGCCAGGATCACTTCATGCAGATGGTGTTAGAGAACCTTACTGAATCTTCTCTTCTGAACTCCACCGTCATCCCACTCCATCAGTGGGTAACCTTGCTGAGTAAATAATTCAACAGTCTAACTTTTTTCTATTTTTCTTTTTTTTTTGGTCTTTTTAAGATGGGGTCTCCCTGTAGCCCTAGCTGACCTGGAACTTGCTATGTAGACCAGGCTGGCCTCGAACTCACAGAGATCTGCCTGCCTCTGCCTCCCAAGTGCTGGGATTAAAGGTGTGTACCACCATGCCCTTTCCACAACAGTATAATATTTTACTAGGCACCAGCTTTAACCAACTAAATCACAAGGTCACACTAAAGTCTAGTATTTTAAGTCTAGACAAGTGGAACTGTTCTGGGTCAAGTGGCCTCCATCTGCCTGCCCCTGTCCTGCCCATGCTCTGCTGTGGAAGCATGTTGGGCTGTGTAACATTAGCAGTTCTAACAATGGGATCCTGAGCTGGTCAGGCCAGAGTCTGTACTAGGGTTGAAGCAATTTAGTTCAGGACATTGATGAGGAGTTCAGATTACCTCAGTTTAACTATGGGCTCTGCTGTAACTTTGAACTTTAGTTCTTTTTATTTTTGAAATGTGAATTATTTGTATTTAGATCATTGGCTTATTATTTGACTATAAGATGATGTCTTTACAGAGCTCATATCTGATACATTGGAACTTCTTGGTCAGTTAGCTTCTCTTTCTCCAGATAAGAAATAGGCTCCCCTGAAGAGGGGATATGGGGTAAAGGTCAGATCTTGGCAGCCTTTAGGTCTCCCTGGAACTCATTAACCTTTCTTTCTCTCTCTCTAACTTCCAGTGTCCTTTAAAATTTAAGGGTAAGTAGAAATTAGATTGTGTAAATATGATATATTATTGGAGGCAGGGTAGTATATCTAACTTAACTTACCCAGCAGGCACCTTAGGAACTCTAGGCATTCAGACTGGCCATAAGAGCTTAGGCCCGTGCAGAGGGTCATTTATAATGTCTTCACGTTATAAGTCACTTTGTACTCCTGATGGGGAAGGTGGGTTGCAGGCGGAAGGAGGTGTGTCTCATTTCACATGTTCATGGTCTAGCATTGTGAATGCAACTGAAAACCTGGGGAAATCTCCACTGGGTCTAGAGACTTGTCCATCATGCATGTTCTGGGGACCCTGGGCTTGAGGCCACATTCACAGAGAAAGCTAGTGTGTACTTACAGATGTTCTAGGGGTTACTTTGGTCAGTTGCAAGCTATATTATAGGCAGCCCCCTCTTTCCTGCTCCAAGCTGTAGAAGCCTCTCTCATAAGGAAGTACCACTATTGGCTCCAGGTGAATGATTAATGATGCTCATGACTTCTTTCTGTTGTGTTCTGCTTAAACTGAGCATTATTTATCAGTGCTATTGTTTGCCTCACTGTGTAAAGTACCTACTGTCAAGCTGAGTGAGACCATTCAGCAGCCTGGGTGGACCTCATGGTCTAGACCATTGGCATTTGAGCCACTGCATAAATATCAGTGACATGGCTCATCTAAATGCAGCCTTCTGGAAGTGAGTACACAGTAGGGAGCAATAGCCCATAGGTCAGGAACTGGGTTGACATGGCCCTGGTAGGTAGACAGCAGGTACAGCAGTCCTCCTCCTCCTCCTCCTCCTCCTCCTCCTCCTCCTCCCCCCCTCCTGTTGACAGAGTTCCCCTGTAGCCCCACTTGGCTTGGAACTCACTACAGAGGTTTGCCTGCCTCTGCCTCTGCCCCCTGAGTGCTGGGATTAAAGGCGTGCACTACCATACCTGGGCCCATAGTAGTTGATGGGCCATCTAATATTGTCTGAATCGCTTGAGCTGTTCTCATATTTTAAAACAATAAAGTCAACAAGAAAAGAACAAAACTGTACTTTTAGAGTCTTGATTACTGGGCCTAAGTGGTGGGAGGAATATAGGCCTTGAATCAGCCTTGGGCTCAAGTCTCAAACTCCACTTCTTAGCAGCTCTGTGGTCTCGGGTAGTTGATTAGCCTATTTGAACATTGGCTTGTATTGTGTCCCACAGTGGCTGTGATGGCCACTTTAAAAGTCATATCAGTGCTTGGGTTGGGGAAGGGAGGTCTGTCTGTCTAGGGGCTCAGTCTACTTTGCAGTGTACAACCATCACTAACAATTGTAATAACCCTTTTCCTTCAATAGTAAAAGCGCTGAAGGTTCAGGTCCAAGCATTTCCCTGGAAGTTCAAGGACTGACCGGGGTGAACAAGGGTGCTCTGTGACATTTTCTCTGGATTTCTGCCAGGGTAGAAGTAGGTCCTCACTATGGGCTAGAGGGCTGGCCTTAACCAGGCCCCACATTGATGTCAGCTCACACTCACAAACACTTCCTATGAAGGCTGGTACTCACTGAGCCTTCACAATGGCCCAGGAAATAATAATTATCTGCATTTTACAAATGAGGGAGTCACAGGTTAGGTTCTCTGAGAAGCAGCTTTTGAAGTGGTAGTCAGAACCTGGGGTAGCTTTGGGGGAGTCCTTCTGAGTGTTAGAGGGAGAGGAAGGAAGCAGGGCTGGGCAGAGGGTGGCGCTGACTTGTGTTGGCCTCACAGGGAGTTTTAGAATCAGAGTTGTCCATTGGCCCAAATGGCCAACACCTATAGGTCCCACTTTGATCTGTGATTGGAGTGTTAAACTGCTTTCTAATCTAGGAGCCTGTAGGCTGGGACCGCGCTACTGCGAGCAAAGAGAAGCTCAGTGTAAACAGTACAACCAAACTACAGACTTCACCAATCAGAAGCCAGCAGCTACTCCCTCACTGAAGCCTTTCCA